AGAAACGCTCGTCACTGTGTCTCCGGACAAATCAGACATGATACATTGATGCATTATCCCTCCTCCATGCCCAGATTGGTTCAAACTCGCTATATCACAACCAATAAGCATAGGTTTCGCTTTTGTTTGTGGACCAAGCTTTTTGAACAACACGGAATGAGAGAAAGGCATACATTTATGCGCGGCTAAATAAAACGCAAAAAAAAAAAAAGTTTTGCATGAAATAATTCTCATACTAAGTACTTTTGCATGCACAGCAGCACAGAAACATGACAAAACAGTGACACAGCAAAGACGAACTGCTGCTCTTGCTGTTTTCAAAAGACGCAAATGAAGATGCAGCTGTTTGTCTGCATTGCAGACAACCATATCCAAATCCATATCCACAGACAACCATATCCATGCTGGCACATAAAACCTAAGGATGTTCCATATTGAATCTAGTTTCGTTATGTAACTATTTATAAATATATTTATTTATAAATATAAATATTTTACTATTATAAATTATATTTAAAATATTTATTTTTTACTGAGGATTTGCACCATGTTTATTTGGACTTTATTTGGACTTTGACACATTATTTATTATTTTCTTATTTTTATTTGTTTATTGTAAGTGATGTTGTTTATAGTAACTAAAAATATATTATTTGGAAAAAGTCAAATTTGCTTCACTGTTCTTTTATTTTGTAACATTTGTAACATACCGTATACCGCGAAACCGTCAAACCGTGGTATTGTTTTAGACGATTATCATACCGTGAAAAATTCATACCGTTACAACCCTAATCTCTATTGGAGTTTTCAGTGTCAGTATGGTTAAAGAACACCATAGTATTAACTATAAATTACTATACTATATTTTCAGGTGGGTGTCTGACAACTGAAAATAGATCTGGTAGCAGATATCGCAGTTGTTGCCTCACTTGTTTCACATTCTGACTCCAATACCTGATTATAAAATAATTAAAATGACTATAATTAAATTAAATACTCTTAAGAATAAAGAGTCTACTTGTACTGTGATGATCTTGTATTGTCACTCAGGCATTATATAATATGGCATAACATAGTCCTAAAATGATAATAATATTGTTTATCACAATATATTTTGGTGGGAAATATCATACAACAAAGAATAGATATCATAACAGACTATATAATAAATAGTGTTTAAATACAATTCTGTAGCTATTTGTATATACTATAATTCAGACTCAATATGGCATTTCTTAGCAATGTGACTATTGCGGGTGCACACATTGCAATTGCGATGCTGAAACGATATATTGTGCAGCCCTAATTTGTAATGACCAACTTCTGAGGCTAGAGCAGAAAGGATCATGCCTGCGGACTGCTGTGGACAGGGTTTAGTCACTTTTGAACAACTCGTTATCTTGCAAAATCTGTGAACACTGGAAAGTCAGGCTGTTTGATGTGGTTTCAGTTTACCGGGGTTTGTCAGATAATAAAGGAATGTACCATCAGATTAAGTAGCTGGATGAATTCTGAAAGTTCTTTAACTTTGATCAGTGCTTTTTTATAATGTATCATGTTCTCTAATTCCCATCTCCACTATATACAGTAACATTTGTCCCCCTATAAAACTCAAAACCAACAATTTATTCTTCTGTCACGATATATTACAGAAAATAACTCATTTTCACTCATTACAGACACATGTCAGATTTTATTATAGGGAGCAGGCAGGAGATTGATGGCTTGAACATCATGACATGGAGCCGATCCGCGAATTGCAGCACATTATGACGAAAACTAATCAGAGTCACTTGAGTCTCTGTTGTGAGGCAGTTGTTAGAGTGTTCTGAGTGGTTGCTAAGCAGTTACTAAAGTGTTGCTAGATAATTGCTAAGGTGTTCTGAGTAGTTGCTAGGCAATTGCTAACATAAATTGGCATGTTATTAACATGGTTATAATATCAATTAGCATGTTGCTAGCACTATTCTAGTATAAATTAGAATGTTGCTAGTAGGTTTCTACAGTGTTTCCCCTACCATCCTATTATGGGACGCCCCGCCCTTCCAATGGCTTTCCCCACCCCCTTGAAGTAAAGTTAATTGTATAATATATATATTATACGCCAGATCACAATTTTTTTAATAAACAAGCTAAATAGCTAAATATGTATTATCTTATTTACACAATGGCATGTTATTTCTGCTCTCTAAATAGCGGATGGTGGAGTTCCCACAGGCACTCTCTGCTGTATGGAAATGAGGTTGGGTTGTCGCGAACTGAAGAGCGGACAGGGGGGTAGTGGTTGTGGGGGTGGAGCGGGGGCACTTTAGATCATTTTGGAAGGACACTTTCTATCCAAGCCTAAAAAGGACAGGTAGAGCTATATGTGAGCACGTGCCTGGTTAACTGAACAGATCAGCAAAGGTATCGTGAGTGCAAATCCCTCCCTCTCTCACATTGAGAGATCTGCTGTCAATAGATGGAGATGCATTTATGTTTAAATGGTCCTGCATGTAGTTAGGCCTTTTTACACATAACAACTGAAACTTCTGTGTTTTGACAATATTGCAATATTCACTAAAAGCTGGAATGGCTGGAATTATTAGATAAATAAAACTTAATTATTTTTTTACATGAATATTTAATAATATAACCTGTAATATACTTATTTCAATAAACAGTATAGGCCTGTTAGCAGAGAAGTATTAAGTTTATAGGTTTGCACATCTTATGCATCAAATGTGAGCTCCAAACTTGTTTTTGATACAGACATGTTGAATTCTTCTTTCTTCATTTGCAATGCATTATAATTTTTCATAATTTTTATGTCTGTGTTATATTTTCTGTGTTGGTTTATTCTGCTGTGGCAACCCTTTATTAATAAGGGACTAAGCCAGAGTAAAGTGAAATGATGAATTATTTTCTGTAAAGCTGCTGACCATGACACTTTCACACCTAAAGAAATGTGTTTAAGGGATTATAAGCAGCATCCTTCACTTATCCTCTTAGGTAAGGCAAGATCTTCTCCTAAGGTTCACACTTAAAGGGAAAATGTGCTCAATGCTTTATAAAGCTTGAAGCATTAGAATCGGTACTCAGCCGATCACCATGACAATAACCGGTATTTAATATCAGCTGCAAAAATCCTGATCAGAGCATCCCAAGCTTTGACCCAACTTGGCTTTCAGAGCAGCAATACTCACCCTGGCTGCACAAGACTGATCTTGGTAAGTCAATAAATACATCCTTATGAAAAAGAAGTATACTAAGTAAAGATCAAGTATAAATGAATATTTTATTTAGTAAGCATTCTAAAATTAATGTAATAGTAGTTCAAGTGATTTTTTTTACAGAAGCTCATTAAGATACACTGCAGTGACAAAAGCTGCACACTTTGAGGATAAAAATTATATAAAAATAAATGTTCATTTATAGCTTGTACATTTCAAATAGTTCACTTTCTAGTTTTAGATCACTTTTTTACTGCTGTCATTAAAAGAAACAAATTAACACCATGACTCATTGTGTCATTGTCAGTCTGAACAGTCGCCCCACCAATGCACCCCCCCACCCCTTTCTAGTATGGATTGGTATGTTGTTACTGTTAGTATGTCCAATGTAAAGTCAGTGGCAGTTTTTTATAATGGAAGTCTATAGGACTGTAGCTAGGGTGCCGAACGAGGTTGCAAGGGTGTGGCTAGTAAGTTGAAAGGTCATCAGTGATTGGCAGTCCAAGTTAAATGAGCCCAACTTTAAGTCTGTATGACAGTCTGGCACAAAGTTATGAGGTCACAATGTTTTTTCCAGTGTTGATTCAATGGGACTTTTCTGAATTTTCCAAGACAGTTTTGGGAAAACCATAAGTCGGATCAGTTGAAAAGGACATAGCAACTTAATTCAGTATAGTTTGTAGGTTTGGAGTTAGCTTGGTGGTTGTAGTATAAACGGTCTAGGAGGAGAAGTGTTCTTGAAATAGTCTAAGAAGACGAGAAAGAAAACTGATAAGTTTATGTTGTATAACAGTATGTTGGTTTTCTCAAACCACACCATAATGAAGGCATATCTGTTAGATGGACTTTTCCTAAACATTGCTGTAAACCAGAGATGCCTAAACTAGGGCCCACGGGCCAAAGTTGGCCCATGGTAACCTTTGATTTTGCCAACTATTTCTGAGAAGAGAGGGAGAATGATGGGGATGTTTAGAGACTGTCAATTCACATTTAATGTAGCCTTTGTTTGTTTTATTGTTGAAAGCTAACTGAAATTAAATGTTTCAATTAAATGGTGTAAATTAATCAGATTCTGTTCAAATGTACATACAGTACTGTCACCAGACAATGCAGAGACTTTGATCAAAATAAGGCAAAGGCAGATTCTTTTTGACTAGTGCATTTATCATTGAACTCCACTGTGTTATAAATGTGATTGTTCATGTTTTTTGTTATAAGATCATTTTAAATGTTACACTGAATTAGTAAATACGATTTAAACTAATGTTTTCTATTTATTCTAAAATATTATGAAACAAATTAAGAAATGGCAGCTTGTCATGAAATATAGTTTGGTATATTTACCTTCTGCCCACGGCTCCCAATGATATTTGGTTTTTGGCCCTTCATACGAAAAAGTTTGAAAACAGTTTTTATTTATGTGATCAAAAGTCCCTCTTTCACCTGCAAAAAATGTTGCAATGCCATCCTCTGCACTTCATAACAAGCACAAGCATGTAGGCCTGTGCCTGAGTTCCAATGCAAGCCAAAGTGATTATAGTGTTAAGAATGTACACAAAGAATGTGTTTAAATAAACACTACAATAAAGCATGAAAGTCTGTAAATGGTTAATATTAATTGCATTAACTCTCTTGGATTGTTACATCTCCTTTTCTGTTCCTCACAAAAATGTCATAAGGGTTTGAGAACACCACAAGGTAGAGTAAATCATGACGGAAGTTTCATTTTGAGAAACTCTTAGGAATACAACAAGATTTTCCTTTAATAACATACAATTTTGAACTTACTATGCGTTGAGTCATGCATATCAGGCATTTCCTTCTCATAAAATCCATCACAGGAGCAAAGTCCAGCAGTTAGAAATACATTCTGTGGCGTGTTTTATAATCTAAATACACAACATACAGCTTTGTATCAGAATTTGATTAAATCACCAGCTTCTAATAAAGAAATCACAGAGATGTTTATGATTTATATGCATGGAGAAAAAAAGAAAGACTTTGTCAAGTAACACACTAACCTTTTAGCTACCAGAAACAGACAAATGTTTTCAATAATGTAGAACCAATTCATTTCGTCTCAAATTTGTGGTTGAAATAAATAACTTTGCGCTGTGTGCGTGCGTTTAACTAGAGCAGCTTTTTTAGATGGCCCGACTGAACATCAACAGCAACATCAACAGGTTGAGGCAGTGTTTAAGCAAGGGGTGTTTAAGTCAAAAGTGCATTTCAAAGCATCCTACAATTTGTAGTATGGCTAACTTTACTGGTTTGTTAACATTTAAACACGAGAACAGAATTCTATGACCCCGAGAACGAAAGTGTCGCGTTGAAACTAAATATCCAGCAAATATTTCCTTACATACCTCAAACAGTAACCGCTATCCTTTATGTCAAAGTGTCGCTTTCTTGCGAGAATCTGTCACTGTCTTCTTCAGTCTGAAAACTTATGTCCGCTTTCAAGCAGTAGTTACTTTCCATCAAACGACCGTACCGGATTTCGAGTGCAGGCGCGCGACTCTCCACGCCTACCTGCGCTATGCCACGCTGACGTGCCAAATGCCCAACCACGCCTGAATACTACACTACACCACAGTAAACGTGGACAGAAGCAAGGAACATCAGCTAAGTCCTGTACAATTCGCATGACATACAATTATAATTCTGTTGGTAATTATATTAGTTTGCAGACCCAAGCGCTGACTTCTGCATGTTGAAGCTTGATGCGCCTCCAGCTACGGATTCACAGGAATAAATGTGGCAGGTCAAGTCAAGCACAGCACATAAGAAATCAACGGCTGACTGAAATATATTAATGTGCATTTACAAATGTAATTGATATTGTCGTATATCAGTGTGATGCAAACAAGCTACAAAGTAGAAACCGTTGTTGTTGTTGTTGTTGCACATTGAATACACAAAAAATCCTGATACCCACAATCCAATATACAAATTTTAAATTTGGTAACAAAGTTCCCCCTTAAAAAACTCAAGAATTGTGCTTTCAGCTAAATTTAAGTTGGAACAAACAGCAAATGTCATTGTTTAAATGTACCATTTGTATAATGACATTAAGATGACAACAAAATCTTAAACATATATATATATATATATATATATATATATATATATATATATATATATATATATATATATATATATATATATATATATACAAGGCCCTGATTAAGTCAAATGTGCATGTATTTATGTGCATTTTAAGCTACATTGCTAATGCAGTCATGGTTAATTCAGGGTTACCAAAGTTTAACTATTCATATATTTACCATAGTTAATTTTAAGAATTCATCTGACGTGATAACTTGTACATTAGGCAAGTTGTTGAATAGGGCTATTTTGAATATATTAGGGGAGTAAAACATATGGGCAAAGCAGTGGCGCATTAGGTAATTCTGTCACCTCACAGCAAGAAGGTCGCTGGATTGCTGGTTCGAGCCTTGGCTTAGTTGGCGTTTCTATGTGGAGTTTGCATGTTCTCCCTGCGTTCGCGTGGGTTTCCTTCGGGTGCTCTGGTTTCCTCCACAGTCCAAAGACATGCTGTATATTTGAATTGGGTAAGCTAAAATATCCGTAGTTTGTGTGTGTGGGTGTTTCCCATAGATGGGTTGCGGCTGGAAGGGCATCCGCTGCGTAAAAACTATATAGGTTATATAAATATTAGTGCTGTCAATCGATTAAAAAATATAACTAATTAATCGCACTTTTAAAAAAAAATCGTGATTAATCACATTTAAAAGACTGAAACTTGTAATTTTGGCTATTCGAATGTAAAATTAATATAAACGCAAGACAAATACTATTTAAATTCAAAATATAATTTATTATTAGAATTTATGTTTAACTTGTAACACAGATTTCTTCATGTAAACAACATACCCACAATAAACCATCAGGATCCTGGCTCAGCCATATTTATTACAGAAATAAAAACACAGGCCATTAATGTTAATATTAATGTTAATCCCATTTGAATTTCAAAAAAATCAATGCTAATAAAGAAAACATTGATTTTTATGTTGGATTCTAAGTGGACTGCAAAATAATAATGATAATAATAAATAATAATAATAATAATAATAATTATAATAATTATAATAATAATAATAATAAAGTATTGAATATAAACAATTGCACTCATTGCAGGGCTGGACTTGGACAAAAAAAAAAAAATGGCCCTGGCATTTTGGGCCAGAGCACGCACTGGAATATGTTTACCAACTCCCATTCTATAAAAGCACAAAAGCCATAAATAGGAAATAACAAGAGTTGACAAATTAAAAACTTTTTAAAAATGTATTTATTATTATAATAAAATTATAATCCACTCTGGAAATGTGGGTGCCTGTGTGTTTTGAGGGAGCCTAATAAATAATGAACATAACACAAACTGCGTGCTGATGCTGTCAGGGTTCTGCCACTCTGGTCTTGTAAATTCTTGTTTTGGTGGCGGAGCTCGGACACTAGCTATGTCTTGTCCTGTTTCTGTCATTGTGTGTCTCGGGGTGCTCGTGCGCCATCATGGGTGTACGCAGAGTGTGCGCGCTCCCGCTTGATGCTGCCGCGTGGGCTCTGCGTGCCTCGGACGTGCGTGCTCTTGTACTCGTGTTTGTATTTTCGTCTGTCTGCAGCGTGGTGTTTCATTCCCAGCGTCTCAGTCCAGTTGGTTTCGGTTTTGGTCGGCGCTTGGATGAAACATGCACGCTGTGTGTGTGAGCACACGCTGTGTTTTTATTCATTGTGTGCTCGTGTCTTGCGTCTGTTGTCAAACCACATGGCTCTGTGTTTACATTGTGGTCACGTGCTTTTGTTGTGTGCCTCAGTGTCGTGCTTGTGTTGTCATGAACATGTGGTTAATGAGTTCTCTCATTGGCTGCATGTTCTTGTCCTGTTTTATGTGAGCGCATGGCCTGTGTTGTCTGTGTCATGCGCTCTCCCATCTATTGTCAAGTCTCACCTTCCTTGTTAACCCATTATTAGTTAATTTTGTTCATCTGTTTGTGTGGTCATTTTCTCCTTATATTCTTCTCATGTCTGATGTCCTGTGCCAGTTCGTCGTCTAAACTCCCCATGTGTTCCTGCTCTTGTTCTTGTCTTGCCAACCCAGCCAGGTTTGTTAGTCTGTTAGTGTTATAGTTATGTTTTTCCCCCTTGGGGTGGTTTTTGTTGTTCTTTTGTTTTATTTTTATTATCAATAAATCATCCTGTGTTTGCACTTGAGTCCTAACTCCCTCATCCTTCCCGAACTGTGACAGTACGAACTGGCCAACAAAGGACTCAGCAAACAGGATGAGCAATATTATCCTTCCACCCACCATAGCAGAGGAAAGACAGAGGCGCCTTCAGGGACTGGTGTCGGCCCGTCAGCAAGGTCAAGAGGTAAAAAGTTTTGCCCAGTTTTTTTGGACCTATGCTAGGGGGCTTTAGTTTGATGCCTGGGAAAGACTTTTGGGAAAAGTTTTGGGAAAACTGGAAAAGTTTTGCCCAGTTTTTTTGGACCTATGCTTAGGGGCTTGAGTTTAATGACACCACTCTAAAGAGGGCTCTCTGTCTCGATGAACCCCTACCACAGTGGGAGATTGATTAGCTTGGGGTGTTGGACTTCTGGGGCTTCTCGCTTTATCTCCACCACCTTAAGGATTGGCAGATCCTCACATCCCTTCCAGCTGATTGCGGCAAACACTCCACCCCTCCTTCCTCTACGAGTTCCGCTCATGAACTTCCTCTGACTCGTCGAGTGAACGGAGGCTGCAGAGAAAGAGGGCTGCCAGAACTGCTGCATCAGCCCCAGAGCGCCCTCCAGTGTCGGCTCCAGCCCCAGAGTGCCCTCCAGTGTCGGCTCCAGCCCCAGAGCGCCCTCCAGTGTTAGCTCCAGCCCCAGAGCCCGTTCCAGTGTCGGCTCCTGCCCCTGAGCGCAGCTCAGTGCCGGCCCCAGCCCGGCTCCTTGCCCTGTCGGCACCACCCAGACGTCTTGCCCTGCCGGCCCCAGCCTGGCTTCTTGCCCTGCCGGCACCACCCAGACGTCTTGCCCAGCCGGCCCCAGCCCAGGTGCTTCCTTCCCTGCCGGCCCTTAAGTCCAGCCGGCTCTGCCAGCCCTTCAGTCCAGCCGGCTTCAGCCCAGCTGCTTCCTGCCCTGCCGGGTCCCCTTGGGCCTTCAGTCAAGCCGACTTCAGCCCAGCCGCTTCCTGCCCTGCTGGCTCCCCTCGGCCCTCCAGCCCTGCTGGCTCCCCTCAGGCCTTCAGTTCAGCTGGCTTTAGCCCAGCCTTTTCCAGCCCTGCCCGCTCCACACAGACCTCCAGCCCTGCCGGCTCCCCACAAGTCTCCAGTTCAGCCGGCTCCCCACAAGTCTCCAGTTCAGCCGGCTCCCCTCAGGCCTCCTGTTCAGCCGCCTCCAGTCCAGCCAGCTCCCCACAGGCCTTCATCCCAGCCAGCTCCCCACAGATCCCCTGCCTTACTGTCCCAGGCCGATCCTCCCTGGGTTGTCCCTCCTGCTCCTCCCTGGTGTGCCTTTCCACCACCCTGCACTGACCCTCCGGCTCCACCCTGGTTCCCTGCCGGGGCCCCCGACCCGCTGAACCCACCCTGGACTGTCCCTCCGGTTCCACCCTGGACTGATCCTCCCTTGTCTTGCCCTTCCATCCCACCCTTGTTTGTCTTGTTGGGTCTGGCTTGGCTTCCCTCCCTCCCCCCCCCCTTCGTATTGTCTTGCCTCCCTGTCTTGTGTTTGTTGCCTGTTTATTGTCTTGTGGTGTTTCTTGTCTGTCTTGTGCCTTGTTGGATGTTCCCTTTAGGGATACCAGGTGGAGTCCCTTTTGCGGGGGGCTAGTGTCAGGATTCTGCCACTCTGGTCTTGTAATTTCTTGTTTTGGTGGCGGAGCTCAGACACTAGCTATGTCTTGTCCTGTTTCTGTCATTGTGTGTCTCGGGGTGCGCACGCGCCGTCGTGGGTGTACGCAGAGTGTGCGCGCTCCCAAATGATGCTGGCTCTGCGTGCCTCGGACGTGCACGCTCTTGTACTCGTGTTTGTGTTTTCGTCTGTCTGCAGCATCTCTGTCCAGTTGGTTTCGGTTTTGGTCGGCGCTGGGATGAAACTTGCACGCTGTGTGTGTGAGCATACGGTGAGTGTTTTCATTCATTGTGTGCTCATGTCTTGCGTCTGTTGTCAAAGCACGTGGCTCTGTGTTTACATTGTGGTCACGTGCTTTTGTTGTGTGCTTCAGTGTCGTGCTTGGGTTGTCACGAACATGCGGTTAAATAGTTCTCTCATTGGCTACATGTTCTTGTCCTGTTTTATGTGAGCGCATGGCTTGTGTTGTCTCTGTGTCATGCGCTCTCCCGTCTATTGTCAAGTCCCACCTTCCTTGTTAACCCATTATTAGTTAATTATGTTCATCTGTTTGTGTGGTAATTTTCTCCTCCTCATATTCTTCTCATGTCTGATGTCCTGTGCCAGTTCGTCGTCTAAACTCCCCATGTGTTCCTGCTCTTGTTCTTGTCTTGCCAACCCAGCCAAGTTTGTTAGTCTGTTAGTGTTATAGTTATGTTTTTCCCCCTCGGGGTGGTTTTTGTTGTTCTTTTGTTTTATTTTTATTATCAATTAATAGTCCTGTGTTTGCACTTGAG